GCATGCAGGTCTGGAATGGGCAGTTTTCCAGCTGGGGCTAGTGTTGGTTATGCTCACATCTTTGTTGATCAAGCTTTTTAGTAAACTCAAATTGACCATTGATACCAATTGAAAATTTTTGTGACCAAAGTATGGAACTCAGGGGGCCTCTCTTTTGCACTAGTTCATGGTTTTTTAGGGGTTTCAAGTGTCACCGAATCAACTGAATACTTTCTTTCTTAAGCTTATCTTTGATTACAAGAAATAAAATGAGCTACTAGGGTCTGACAGTTCCCGCCCTTTGTTCATGCAAATACACAACTACACATCAATCCTAACCACAAGGCTTTGGATGCTGATTTTGGAGAAAACAAGTCCAAGGCAGCTGCCTGAACCCACACCACACCCAACCTCCCATACCAGGAGCCATGTGGCGCTTACAAGGAGCCAGGAGAATTTTCAAGTCTAACCTCAAGGCTTCCTTGGAGGGGCCACAGTCCAAGATTCTGTCATTACGTTCCCTCTTTCACCACCCCCAATTTAGGAAAGGCTACTTGGGCATCCTGGCAGGTTGGCTCTTTGCAGGCAAGTGGTGCCTAAACCTTCTCAAGCCTCATCCTAAACAGCTCTGCAAGACTTAGGCACATGATTTGCAGCCTAGGAATAAAAGCAATGTCCCCACTTGTGTGCATACATATGAGGGTGAAAGATTTCATCTACTAGTCTATTTAAACACAGATTTATTTTTCTTTTTACTGAAAGTGAGCAACTTCCATTGAATCTCCTGGAAATGATGTCAGGGTCATCTTTCTTCCAAGTGTACTTGAGCTGCTTAACTAACTTGTCCACTCCATTCAATACACAGCTTATTAACATTTTATATACATTGTGCTTCCATGAGTGATCCTGCAGTGACTGCAAGACGTGGAAGCTAATAATCAGTTATTCAAAAACGTTCAAATCCTTCTCCCACGGATGGAGTTTTGCCATTGACGCAACAAGTGGGAGCTTTGCACCCAAGTGTGACAAGCATGACCTCACCAAAACTCTAAGTCTCCTTAGCAAATAAAAGCAGACTGGGAGGAGACTCGTAAAAGGCCTATCGAATGGCAATGTCCATGTGTCTTCAGATCTACTCGAATTCTCTAATGCTGAGACAGAGAAGAGGAACCAGGAGTGTCTGCAGTGAGAAAGGAGGACGCACACAGGACTGCAAACAGCTGCAGAAGATGCTATCCTGACTGTGACATTAAAGGCTCTGCTGATGGTTGTTGGGGGTTTTTTTGTGTTACAGCAACCATAAGGCTGCACTTTTTTTTTTTGTTTTCCTCTTTTCCTCCTCTCCCTAAGTACAGCTGCGAAAATCAGTTTTGCTGAGCTGTTGCAGCAGACCATTCCTAACTGCCCTCCACTCCAGGAGCTGCACGGCTGCTGCGGGGTGACCTCCAGCATTGTTCTAGATGGCAAACACAGCTGCTAGGCTTTTGGATTTTAATTTACAACACAAGAACAAATCCATTGTGGACCTACTATTTCACACTTTAAAGAGGGCTTTTCTAAGTGTGTGGATCTGTTTGGACCAGATGAAAAGGAAAGCTACTGAGAAGCTTGAGAAGGAAAATGAGAACAATAACAACAACAATAAAAACCAGTTCTATTTATGAAATCATACTGTTTAAATACCGAAATAGAGACTCCTGGTGAAGTCCCTTACAAGAGATGCCCATTCAGTGAGATCATAACTAGTGACAGGTGAACTGAAAAAGTTTGGAATATTGAGAAAAATATGCAACAGTTTGGAAAATCTTGTGGGGTAAATGTTCCCCTTTACATTTCTACTTTCTCTTGATTTCAGTTCAGCTGGAAATAAATACTGCTGAAAATCTGCCGTTTTCAAGCCCAGAAGAACCCATCAATACAAAAGTACATGAAACATGAAAAGGTGTGGTTTTGTCTTGTTTTATCCTGGTTTTAAACTCAGGGATCTGGTTCTAAAGATCTCATGCCAAAATTGCACTAACTTTTCCCTGGATCCAAACCAGTTCATCTATGACTAGTCATGATATTTTAATATAGAGTTCCTCATTTACATAAAACAGGTAAAATAGGTCACAAGTGTTTAAACAAGTAAATTAGGAAAAAAAAATCAGTTGTATTTGCAGTCAGAAATAGGTAGAAAACACAGACTTTTTTAAAAATTATTTTTTAATAAATTTGGCAGAGGATCATGTTGAAATGCAAATTTATCACCAAGAAAAGTTCAGATATCTGATAAAAGTGTTAGGAAAAAACCCAAAACTGTAAAAATGTGAGTGTGCTTATTGGAACTCAAACCCCAGATAAACCAAGAAGAATTAATTATACCTTTTTTTGGAGGGGAGAGAAGAGGGGAGAGGGGAACTGTTTTCCAGAAACAATAATTTCTTAGCTCTTCGTGAGTCCCAGCCCTCCCTTGCAGTCATGCTAAAGAGCACAGCAGGGCCAGAGCAGCTGACATAGAGAACGCTTCAGTGAGGTTGTTGCATATGTGCAAGACATTTTCACTTGGTATATGGAAGCGACTGATTTGAATGGCACAGTTTATATCGAAATGGGGCTGGGTTCTAGTTCTCTAATAGTTGTACTTTGAAAGGTGTAGTATTAACCCTCTGGTTCTTAACACAAAGACGCTCTCCACAATGCGGGAGATGGCTAAATACCCAGCTGACATGCCGGAGGCATCTTTGATGTACCCAAACCATTATTTTTCCCTAACTAAAGCTTGTCTCAGCTCTATAGCACGAAAGTGATGTGCAAACTCTCTCTCAAATGCAGTTGTATGACAATGTATATATAAAAAAAATAAATCAAGCATCAGTGTTTCATATGCACTCACAGAAACCATTAATTTAGACACCCCCTAACCTGCTACTGCCTCTTCACCCAGGCAAGCATGCCTGTTTACTGCAGACACTAATTGTAACTCAAAAATGAGGGGGCTGAAGCCCACTAAGAGAGTTATCTTTGATTACATTTCCTTGCCTTTGACGATTAAAGGCTATTAAAAAAAAAAAAAAAAAAAAGCTGTATGCATGTTTCTTGATTTTGGGCACATTTGATGACACCCACTGGCTCACAGAATTCCTCCAGTGACCTTCGGATAGCTACTCCCACTGGCCCAGCAGGTGACATCAGATGTTTGCCGTCTCCAGCTGCGGAAAAGTTTCATTTATAACTCTTATAATACAGCAACCAGAAAAAGAAAACAAAAGCAATTCTGCCGCGGCTGGTTTTGTTGCTGCAACTCAGCTATCTGATGTAAAAATGTGTACAAATTCAAAGTAGAAATGCAGCCACTTTTTCCTTTTTTTTAAAAATTATTTTGGTCCATCTCTTTAAGTTTTAAATCACCCCTTTTCTGTGATCAACAAGTGTTTGTGCTGCTGTGGCCAGTTAGCACATGGGACAAGAAAAAATAAAACAAAACTATTGCGTAGGAATGTTAAGAACTGGATATGTTCCTGTTTAAATGACAAACTCTGCCCTGACAGACTAAACTGACAGCAGAAGCAGCAGATACAAACTCTGCTTTTATCAAGCATTCCCTTTAAATACCTTCGGATAGCCTAACTGTGGTATCGTAAGGAAAAAAATCCTCTCCCTCTACTACAATGCCCGCAAGAAAAGGCTGAGTTTCGCCAGAGAACCTGTTCCCAGCACAACCTGCTCAAGTTTTTAAAAAAAAAAAAAAAAAAAAAAAGATTTTGTCCATTTTTTGGACAATCTTCAGGGAGCAATTCCCCATGGAAACATCCACCTGGCCCACATGAAGCGGAACCCCCATTCCTACATTCCTTGTAGTGGTTTCTCTTCACTCCCCAGTCTAACCTGGAACAGCACGCAATTCTTTCTGACCAAATACAAAACATCGCAGTGTTACATGTTCCCTTTGCTTTAACTTAAAATCCTGAAAGCCCTGTTTCTTCAGCAGATAAGATTCATAAGCCTCACAAATATGTCTGCCACCCTCCACCCCCCCTAAAAAGAAAAAAAAAATTATGTTTTAACCTAATGATGGGCAAGGAGACTGGGGGCCCTAGGTCCACTGCTGCTATTTAGTAACATGGGACAAGGGACTTAGTCCTTTTGCTTGTTCCCCCAACAGTAACACCCCCTCCCCCAAATAAATACATAAAGCAAATTCTGGTTACCGAACTTGGCAAAGCATTTTTGAGATACATGGATGGAAAGCACCTGTTTGCTGAGTGATATTATTATCTTTATTACTATTATTATTAAAAACGTATCTGTTATAAATATCAGTTACACCAGGTGTAGGTGAACAGTTTTGTTCCTCCTGTCGGGGATGACCTGGTTTGTGTTCACCTTCGGACGGTCAGAGTCCAGAACGGGTTTTTTTATTTTTCTGCCCGAAACCGAAGTCCAATAATAAACACGCAAACAAATGAGCAAGCGAACGTCTGAAGCAGCCAGAGAGCAGGTGCTGCTTTTCCCCTCTAAGCTCCTGGGCACTCGCCCCTGCGGCCCCGGGGACAGGCTGCCCCTCCCAGTTTGCAGAATTCAAGTTTACACCAGTGCCACCACACTAAAATATGCTTTGCTGGAAAACTAAGGAGCAGGTACTCAACCTCCCCGCTCATGCACAAACAGCAGGCGTTTCACTTAAGTAATAAAAAAACCCCAAAAACCTAAAAAAAAAAAAAAAGAACAGAAAAAAAAAGAGTGAACCATGCCAAATCCTGCAAACGCCTTCCTAAAGTCCTCCTCTCGTCTGTGTGACGGGGTCCCCATGCCGTGCTTGGGAGTGACGGCCGCGAGGCTTTTCACACCCAATTTCTCTGTCGCCTTCGCAAACTCTCTGCTCTAGCTGCCCAGCTGTATCTTTATTCAGGGACTGTGCTAAACATAACTGTACCCTTTCCCTAATGTTACCCTGAAGCCTGTCGTTTACCACAGTTGAACCAGAAGGTGGAAATACTACACCTTTGAAAATTCTCTTGAAACAGCATCTTTTTTTTTAATCATATCTCTCAACAGAGCTCCTTCTGTGTGTTCTGTAGGTTACCCTGCTCCCAACCATACCAGCACCTAAAATTGCTTTCTGAGATTTGAATGTATTGCTGGCAAGACAATCAATTCAAGTGGTAAGGTGTATAATATTTAGAGATAAAGATATATATATTTAAAAAAACCCAATAATAGTAAATTCCTGTAATATGTCTAGTCTGATATGAAAGCTCTCCCTCTACAGAGAGACATCTGCTGTGATTACCTTACAAAATATTAAAAAAAAAACACACACAAAAAATAACTTTCTCTGTGAGAAATAAAAATAAATCCTAGTGCAAATATAAAGCTCTGTAAACCTGGTCCTATGAGAATCTATGGTTAGTAAACGGCAGTTAAAGCAGGTTTATCCTCTCACAGAGAGAGCTCACATCATGGTTTCCACAATGATATGAGTTGGCTTGATCAATCCGCCATTCGAAGTTCCATTGGGGCAGAAGGGGGTGCCACTCTCCGTTTCTTTGGACCACCGATTCACTTCCTTGGGGGCAGCCACCGCTTTTATCCTCTGAAAGAAAGCAGAAAAGCAAAGGTGAGAAGACCAAGCGGCCCCTGCATCCCCATGTGCAGGATGGAGGATGTGGCAATCGGAAGATGAGGATGGCGGCTGTCAGAGACGTGCCTATGCCACGTGGCTCTGCAAGGACGCGGGGACCCGGGCTGTGGACCACCGCGTTCAACTTTTGCTCAGCTGCAGAGTCTGACTTGAGGCAGGCAAGTCAAGACACGAGAGGGCATTCACAGCGTTATCCTGCATCCTGCACATTGGCCTTTCACTGCTGCAGCTGCTGCTCAAATTATGTGTATTCTCCTACCTCATTTAGAAACAGCTCTGCCTTTTAGCCCAGCTGTTCATTGCCAAGTGGCAACTTCCCTCCTACATCTCAGTTCACAAAGGAAGAATTAAGTGGCATCTGACCAGTGTTTACTCTCTTTCCTTTCCTAACAAGGTCTTTGAGGAGTGTTTTGGCTACTTTTAGACTTGTCTCTCAATAGATGGTGACAATGTAGGCAGGAAAATAAACACTCACGAAAATGCTCTGGCCACAGCTGAAAAAGACCATTAACACTTGGAGGAAAACAAATGCAAGTGTCTGTGCTCTGGAAAATGTTCTTTTTTTTAATTCTATTCTCTCTTTTTTCCTAACCCGAAGTGTCCCACTTTCTCCTCCAAGAGTACCCTGGGCTGCATTTAAGACGGTCTCATTAGGCAAAAGCAAAACTAATCTGAAACCTTAGAAGAGAATTGCCAAGTTTCATGCTTGCACAGTCTCTAAAAACTTTCCACTGGAAGAAAAACAAACCACGGGAACCCGCACTGAACTGGGAAGGGCAAGAGATTGCCTGCAAATCCAAACCTGAGAGAATCTGCACTGTCAAGTCTGAATTCGACCCAAAGTTTTCCAAAGATCAAGGCAATCTGGATCCAGTGTTTTGATTTGATTCATGAGGAATAAAAAAATTTAAAAAAAGCTAAAAAGTGAAGCCCACTGGCAGGAGGGTTTGACTCTTACTCAGTTCCCCAGAGTGAAGGCCATGCCTGAGAGCCACACAATTCACAGGTGGATCCAAATTTCCCTGAAATTCAGTGAGCTCTTACACAGCCCGGTTTGACCCAGGTCTCTCACTCTCTCTCTCTCTCTCTCTCGTTTTCTCAGTGATTTGTAGGATGGTGCTTCCTTGTCCCTGTGGGCTGGAGAAGAGAGATCTGGCACTGGGAAGCATCCCAGCCCTTGAGCGCTTGTCTGCACGTGGAGGCAACAATTTGCCAAGCTACAAACTGCAGAAGTGGGATGCAAGTAAAATCACCTGGTGTTTGTCTGAGGACAGAAGGCTTCGTGTTTGTTCTGTTTCTACTGTTTGCCCAAAGGACAGGTGATCTTTAACACTCTTATTTGCATTCACTGCAGGAGAGGCACCCAACTTTGCCCTACCTGGACAAGGTGGCAGTTTTCCAAGCATTGTGCTTATTTTGTATAAAACACAGCAGGTTAAAGCTCCCTTTCTCCTCTAGACAGACAACTGGTTGCTCTTACCTCAATGAGCGACCCATCTGACTGTATGATGCGGATGACCATCACCATAGGGATGCAGATCATGGAGGAAAGGGCAAGAACCCAGCCCAGGCCAATTGCCCAGTCTGGGTATGTGTAGACCTTGTTGTAGGTCAGTGGTTTGTACTTGGCCAAAGAAAAGATAAAGCACCCCTGTGGACGAGAAAGGAAAACAAAGTGAGGCTCAAAAAATGCTGAAAGCAGTATGGCTCTGGTGCTACCGCTGGCCCTGAGGAAGGCAGGCAGTGAAAGGCAGAGTTGATGGATACAGTATGTATTTTAAACCAATGGGGAAATTATTCTTCCGTTTAAATTATTGAAAGAGCGTCTGCATCTGCTTATAGGTAAACTGTTGCTTGACAATAGGGTGTTAAGCAATGGTGCTGAACAGCTGCAGTACGCTGCCTGTTCTTTTTCAGGGCTCAAATACTTGCTGTACATTGCAAGGAGCTTACTGGAGGTTTTTTTCCAGCAAATGAAATACTTCAAGCTGAGTGTCTGCCTCAGACTGCTCAAGCCTTTTTGTTAAAATGGCCTAGTAGTCCTATCACTTAAAGTAGGGACTGCTCTTTGGAGCAGTCATGAATGTAATACTTTGCAAATCCTAAGGAAAAAACCACTCAAATGTAAACAACTGCCATTTGCACAGGCACAGCAGACAGCTGTCACATTAACAGCTAACACCTGAGAAGATGATGTCTTTGAGGGGTATGTTCAAGCCTCCAGCAGCTCTTTGCAAATTGGTCTCTGAATGCAACAGCCTTCACTTGAAGAGAAGCAGTAAGAGGTGGCTCAGAGCTGCTACGTGGAAGTCTTGAAAGAGCCCAGATCAGTACTCACCACGCAAAGAACTGGTGTGATCACAATCCAGCTCCATTTCATCCAGGGACCAGGTCTGTATCCAATCATATCCTCAATGGCATCATAAATATTATCAGCGCCTGTAATGGATAGTGAGCGCATTTATCAGAACGGAGCATATAAAAGCCATGTAAGGACTGTAGGATTACAGCTGCTTTCCTAGCCCCCCCCAAGGGGTATTTAAAGGGAAGATGAGGGTGTCAGATGTGTTATTCAAACGCTTCCCATGGCTGTGAAGTTCAAGATGATTTTCTCCTTGAGAAGCTCAAAAGTTGGGGGACTCTCCCATCCTACACACCCCCCATTATTTAGATGCAGGAGTACAACGCTAATCCCTCCTGCCCACTCCTCTCCCCAGACCCTCACTGATCTTGCCAGGGGGATCACCATGGGAAGGACACAACAGCAAACACCCCGCTTCTACAGAAATTCAACTGATGCAAAATGAAGGCTTTGTTTGTTTTGCTTTCCTAAGGAGATGGAGTACATGAAGAGTCAGGGAAATGACCAATCCTAAGCAGCAAACATCTTCTGATCATTCCTCAGCTACTGTCTCAGGCAGCTACACAGGCTACTGTCAGATCGTGGTACTCAGCATCGCCTAAAAACAATGGGGCAGAATACACTTTTCTGTCAGCTTTCTTTTTGTATTTCCTATTTGGTTGGCTTCCCCCTTGCAGACATTGCAGCTTTGAAAGGAAATTCTCTGAGAGACAAACAGAAATTTTCACGGCTGGCCAAACTTTCAACTCTCATCTCTAAACTTAACACATGTAAATGCTTAATTGTGTCTTTATTAATTAGCAATGGAAAAATACTCATTTTTGTGTGGAAAAACACTGGAGGTTGGCTTCACCCCAGATGCAAATTTGTCTCCAAGAGATCAGTGCAAATTTATATTAATGGCATGTGTCTGTTGCTGGGAAGAAGATTCTGGGGTGGCTGATGATTAAATGTTTGGCTAGCAAAATTGTCACTGACTCATCAAAAGGTATCAGATGAAAGGATTCTCACTCACCATAAACCCAGGCTACAGCAATACATTCAAAGAATGCAACCCACAAAAGGCATACACCACTAGCTGCATAGTAGTCAAAGAGTTGAAAAACATACATGCCACCCTGTAAAAGAGAGACACAATGGATTAGGATCCAACAGGAAAATACTTCAGGCTCAGCTGCCAGTAACGTCTAGCGACATATCTTAATGATTGCTGTCTAACGAGAAGAAATATTAAGCAAGTAGGTAAGGTAAATATTTGGCATTACCTTCCCCAGGGAATATGCATGTTTACTACATGCATCCAAACAAGTCGATGATTAAACAAAATTAAGCCACTTAGTATAATCTACTGAGACACTTAAATCTTTCCTTCTTAAAAGTATTTTAGGATGGGCATTTATAGAAACAAATGATGTAAAGAAATAATAGGTTGCCTCCTAACATTAACGCCTCTGAAATACTAAAAATGGAAGTCAGTTCATCAGGAGGGTCTTCACTTACGAATTGAGTGGAAGGACTTTTTTAATGAGAATAGTTCCTTTTTTTCTTTCTAACTCTCTTTATTTCTACTATGCTGTTAGACCCTCTGCTTTCACTACACTAAATTGTATATACCTGCACTTTTACTTGAAAAACTGTGTTTGTTAGGCACCTCTGTTGCAGGTGCTATTTTAATTCCCACAATCATGCTCTTCCAGTTGTTTTTAAAATCTGGCTTGGATTTTATTTTGGAGATAAATATCACAATAGTGCAGCCACTGGAACATATTCGCATCTTGTTTATACTAGAATAAATCCAGGGGTATTTAACTGATTCAAATCTGTGTAACTAAGATAAAAATCTCTCTCCCTGCATGCCCTGGATGGATTCTTAATCTGCTCTGCTGAAGGTTCCCAATGTGGTTCATCATTTGGAACCAGACGTTAATATTCATACTCATGTCGATTAGTACCTGAGATCAGATTGAATTTAATGAGATTTCATTTCTCTGTTCCTCTGACTGAAAAGAGGGGAATATATAGCTCCCTTTCAAAATGCTTTCAGATCTAGGGATGAAAAATGCTCTGTAGATCTAAAGAGCACCGCTCCACTGAGTGGCTAATTCCGTGCAGTCTCATTCATAGCTAAAATTGGTCTAAAAACTGCCTAAAAAAGAAGGCAGTTTCCAGTACCGGTGCTACTTACCTCAGTCACCATAGTTAGTCCCAGAAGATAGCTAAGGAAACATACTATAGCGATGAAGATTTCCCGTCGGTAACCCTTCCTTAGGAAGGATGGGTGCAGATCAACTAATGACGTGATCTGTCCTTCAACTTCAACAAACTAAAGGGGAAATACAACAACAAAGAAACGTGACTTTAAAATTACCTGCCATGCATTTTATCCAGGCTCATACTTGAACAAAGGCTCCACAGCAACACCCTGACTGCACTCTGTGGCAAAATGCTGCTCTGAATAAATACATCAGAAGCCGTTCCTTTGGAACCCAGAGGTTGAAGCGTGGGGGTAGTTTTCAGGTTGGAACAAGCTTTCAGAATTGCCGTTCATTTCCTAGCAGCCTTATGAACTACCAAAGGGGCTCTGTAAATGCAAGCCGCAAGGATAAAGGAACTTAATTTGACGACAGGAAGGCACTTATGTGGCTTTTATGTTGTAGCTGTTCCAGATGAATACAAGATGTATGCTAGAAAAGAGGCACTCAAAAAAGCCTAAGCTAGGAGAGTACCTCCCAGCCTTTTTTTGATGTGCCAGAAAACCTCACAGATACTAGTTAGGTTAATTCCACAATTGGATATAATTCTGCTCTTGGGTCTGCCAGTGAAAATCCAGCCAAGGGAATGCAGACTTTGATGTGAAATAGCAGCACTTCTTGACTGAACTTGTCTTTTCTGAACCTGTGAGCAGAGTACCTCTGACTGAGGCTCTGGGGTACTTCTGCAGCAATAATGGAGCTCAATAATGAGCTACAGTCCCCATACAAAGATTTGGTAAACCATTTGCACGTGTAAACCAAAAATTAAGCTCAGAATAGATGAGCTAAAAATCTTACTTTTATCTACCTTCGTGATAACTGTATTTGTACTTACTTGCCATTGGAAAACTACATGCAAGATGTGTAACTTGAGTTAACCAAATAACCCAAACTGGATTTGAGTAAAAGTTTAAAGTTAATCGAAAACCAGATGCATTTCACCCATGGAGAAAAGCGACTACTGAATTGCGCCCAAACAAATCTGAAGAAGGGATCATTCAGCTGATCTGTACTTTCAGCCTGGCAAGGTACAAAAGCACCAAGTTCACTGAAGATATGAGGATACCATGGAGAATCAAAGCTGCCTCTGTAGAAATGATCTTCACTTTAAGTGGATACATCATTTTATAACTACTGAGTTATCACGGGGAATCTAAGAAATAGCATTATTTCAAGAAAAGCTACCTTTTCCTACCCAGTGTCTATATTGCTCTTACAGTGCCCAGAAGTGCCCTGTAACAACTCTGCCCCCTTTGACCACGAGCTGAAGCTCCGTTTTGGAAATACAGACCATCCTGCAAACACTCCACCAGATTTTGTTGCCTCCTGTCTTGTTACTTTGACTTCTGTAAAACTGGCTTTCTTTTTAAATGCAACCCTTTCCTTTGGGCTGATTTGATCTTAAACTGCTCCAGCATTCCAGAAACCTGCTTGACTGCACTCCAAAAAACCAGAGGGGTGGAGAAGAGAAATTAAGTGCTCCAATTAGTTTTAATCATTCTACGCAGTGAGGAGCTTTTTAAAATTAGTAGACAGCTTCCAATTTGCATGAGCACAGGGTTATTGAACCACAGCATTGGGCACTTTTACATTTACTTTGGAACGATTGAAAGTTGCTCACTAGAGTTCAAAGATTAAGCCGTAAAGAGTAATTTAGGGCAAATGGAATATCAAAAAAGTAAGAGATTAAGTGCAGAACAACTGGGTAAAAATCCATTTACAGCGCTCTCTCCATACAAAAGAGCATTTAGGCTAAATGAACATTTCATCCTTACCCATTGGGTTTTTATAATCTTAGTGACTTTCCATTTGAGTGCGGAAAGCTGCCTGTTGCCCTGAAAACTTTGGCAATTTTGCATGTGTGGTTACTGCATAATCCCTGGTCACCCATGTTTCCTTGTAAGTGGACTACCTATGATAATGATTCACAGGTTCTTCTGCAGTATTTAGTCCAACATTGCTATTAGCAACCACTGGGAAAAATAACCGAGCTTCTTGGACTGAACTTTTTGATTTTTTCATGCTCACTAATTAATAGCAGCATGTGCTATAAAATTAGTACAGCTGGAACCTGAGACGCTTTCTGGCCCGTTTGGAGGTATTGAATGTGCACTGATGACGTGAAAGTCAGCAGGATCCCACATTGCTTGGCACCTCCGAGCCCAAGGCCACCAAAAAGGCTGTGGCTTTGTCCTCCGACTGCTCATGAAGCCTCCCTGGATATACTGTACGAAACATTTTGTGCTTTTCGCGCCTCATGATGGCTTCGCTTTTCTTTTTCGGCACTCGGCAACTATCAAAGCCTGTATGCCCAGCATACATATTAATTCTTACCAAGTGTTTTAATGACCGTGTATACACACTGCAGGTGATCGCAACGGCACAAAGTACTCTGTGGAACAGACTGCTGCAGACTTTTATGTTTTAAAATGATTAAGCTCTTCTCCAAAGTACGAAAATACTGCACCGCGACCAAAATGGTGGTATTTTGCGGCCATACTGGGACTGATATTTAGGTTAGGAGTACTGCCCTGGTCTTGTGGACTCCATTAACTCCTGATGACAAAGACTTACTGAGCAGCATCATACTATGAATTGACAGTCATAGATTCATCAAATGCAGCCCCTGCACTAAAAAGCAACCCACATGAATTCCTCTTAAGCAGCAGTAGAGGTATTCTTAACTCATGCCTGTAAAATCAGCTGTACTCAGTGAGCAGCACCGAGACAATAAGCCACATATCTCTTACCCATCATACTAACCTGGCTATCCAGTCCAAGCAACAGAAGCATAATAAAAAAAAGGATTGCCCAAAAGGTGGGCAGTGGCATCATGGACACAGCTTTTGGGTAGGCAATGAAGGCCAGGCCTGGACCTAGAGAAAGAGAAAATAGGAAAGGGGGAAGGGAAGGGAAGAGAAATAGTAAATACCAGCTCTTTGGTAAA